CCTCCCCGTCTTCGAATCCTGTACAACACACCCAGACGGAGCAAACACCACAGAATAACCTTGCTCAGTAAGCTGTCCAACCGAAACTAGATTGGGTACAAGTTGAGGAACATGCAAGGTATTACGTAAAGATATAGAATCAGTAACCACATTGCCTACTCCACGTACTGTCAATTTTTCTCCATTAGCAACAGTTAATTCCATGCCATTAACCGGTTGCACATTTTTTAACTCATCCGATTTCCGCGTCATATGATTAAAGCAGGCACTATCAAGGAGCCAAGGTGCAGAATTACCTGATCCTTGAAGAGTTGCGAAGGTGGCACTAATGGCAGTTGGAAGCGAGCGCTGCAATGCGGCATTTACCATCTGCTCAACTGTGTCTGCCGACATCCCTGAACTGCTGCCCACTTCAGCTCGAGGAGCATTATTCTCAGCAAATGATGGACCAAAACCAGGGGGTGCAGCAGCTCCCCAATTGCGGTGATAGTCGGCCGGGTAAGCTCCATACGCTGGTCGTTCTCCAAATCCAGCTCGAGGCGCACCTCCTCCCTGGCGATCACCATTCCGACCCCCGCGCGCTCCTCCTGCTGTTTGTGGAGATGCCCAACGTGCCTCATTCCGTTCTCGAGACCTACACTCAAGAACAATATGTCCCATCCGCTTGCAATATACACAGAAGTTTCTTCGTTTGCAGTGCTTTTGCAGGTGTCCCTTCTCCCGGCAGTGGTGACACTCCAATTCTGTTGCTGGTAATCTTCTTTGGAACTGAGGTCGCTCGACAGCATAGGCAAAAGAGTTCGATCCGGTGTTTCTAGTCCCGGGAGCAGCTGATGCCACGAGAGTTTCACCCTCGCCTGGTCGTTGATCAATCAACGCTTGAGTTCGCATCCTCGTCTCCTCCCGAACTAGAGTCGCCAATACACCATCAAAATTCAGGACCTCTTTATTGAGAAGGGCTGAGCGTACAGCTTCAAAATCAGGTCTCAGCCGCATTAAAAACTCCAACATTCTGGTACGTTGCCTCTCCTCAATTGCGTCGTCGGATATCACAGCGTTTGGCCTTAGAGCAGCGTGTATCAGGTCTTGTTCGGTCCACAATTCTTGGGCTAGATTGAAATATTCAGTCACTGTTTTATCGCCTTGTTCTAGGCGAGCAATGGACATTTGTATCTCGAACTGACGAGCTGGATTAACGGTAGAATACAGAGCCGTCAAGTGCCTCCACATCCTATTAGCAGTCGGAAATAGTCTCAAGCTCAGACATGTAGTCGCATCAAGGCTGTCCAGCAGCCATGAACGCACACGAGCATCGTTCTGGCTCCACTGGGCTCGTTCTTGCGCGGAAACAGCACCGGCGGCCGGTTGCGGCAGTGAACCATCCAAAATACCCAGCAAACCCCGACCTTCCACAAAGACTCGGAATTGGAATTCCCACAGCGCGAAGTTCGTTGATGTTAGACGTACCGAGGGTCTTGTGGATTCGATTTGGCTAGGCTCTGATACTATGTTGAGAGATCAAACGGTAACGGAAATGACAAATGGTGATTTACGTGGTATCCCCGGATGAACCAGGACTAATCCACGGAGGAGTATGAAGACTCCTCAGCTACTGATGTATAGATGATGATCGTATGTTTGTTACCCTTTTACACTGACGGCGGACAAGCTCTTATAATCACAAGCTTGGCCGAACCCTTAGAGCAATTAGGTTTCTACGTGACTCTCCTAATGCTCATGGACTGCATGGGCCTTTAATGAGCCAATGGGCTAAACCGAGACTCTACGTACACTCCTACTACACTACACTATAATGAGACTACACATATAATCAACATATGTATCTATGGAGTTACGTATAATACACATGCTGTAATGAAAATTGAGCATGAGAGCCCAAACTGGAGGAGACAGCACAGAACAGAGCAGCCCAACTAACTACCATTCATTCAATTCAGGGGTAATTGATTCTTCTCTTGCTTTCTTTTTTCCAGTCTCCATACCTTCGATTTTTGTATATTGATTCCTTGTTGCTGTTTTGGGTCGAGCCTTGTCAAAAGGAAGCACCATTCAGGCAGTTGAAATGATGCACGACGGATGATAATTCCATTTTATGCAAAGGGCAACCCCGATTTGTTCCATTTGAATTTCGAGCCAATCGATTCCATCCAATTTCCATTCAGCCTACTTTATATATATGTTTACCATTTTTAGATTTGATAAATTAAATCAAATCGAATTGTATCTTTATTCGATCTTATTTTATCTTCGTATTGTATCTTTATTCAATTCGAATTGTAACTTCTCATCACTATGGACAGGATATATCCCACCATACCAAATTGGACTTACCGAACCATAAATGATGAGTTGTCAAGAAGATACAATTGTAGAGGTTGAAGAAACGGGTTAATTACATGGTTGGTCACTGAGATTACAAAAAACGTTCATGTTTGGTCACTGAAAATATTTAAATCCAGTCTTGGTCACTCAAATTAGTTAAATGATTCAAATTTGGTCACTCTCCGTCTATTTCCGTTAACTCCAGCTTACGTGGCAGTCAACTTTCATAGTTGACCGTTAAATACGTGACGTGGCAATTAAAAAATTATTAAAAATAAAAAAATAAACTTTCATATTTTCCACCTCATTATTACCTTCATTAAAAAATAAAAAAAATAAAAAACATATAATTGCTCCCAGCTACCGCCGTGAAAGAGTGAAAGGAGAATTGAGGAAAATGAATAAGATTTTGATTAAAATGGTCACTCAATTACATTTCTACTATTTATTTCCTTGAGTTATCCTCATCACCATTGATAGATTACCATTTAATCCACATATTTTTTTATATGTGAAGAAATTCTCTTGGTGGGGCGGGTATGGGTATGGGTATGGGGCGGGGGAGGTCAAAACCATACCCGCCCCATACCCATCAAACTTTTTGCGGGTTTTACCCATACCCTCCCCATACCCGGTCAAAGCGGGGATTTCCCGCGTTGACTAGGTCGGGGGCGGTCGGATACCCGCGGCCATGGGTTTTATTGCCATCCCTAGACAAAACGGTATAATTGTACGACACTGAATGTCTGAAACTTGACGAGGCAGTTCAAGATATGGTGTATAACCATAGGTTACATAATCCTTGAATAATCATACTTATACTCTTAATTTTAAGTGAAATTAGATCTAAGAGATGAGATTAAAATTTTTTTTTTCTTACTTTTAAATTAACTTTTATCTTCTTTGTTTTAACTTGAATTTAAAAAATATTTACACATATAGAACGTATTTGTTGTGATATACAAAATGATATCCATCTTCAATATATTTAGTGGAACAAAAAATTTGTATCATCTTTGTTTTTAACTCGAATTTTGAAAAATTTGCCCAGAAGGCGAGTTCATTGGATCTATAATTTTCTGAGAAAAAAGTTTCAGGTTAAATAGTAAATGACGCACCATTTTACACACTGGTGGTAGACAGTGTTCAAAAATAGTAAATGACTATTAATATATTTATAATATCATGCATACAACTATTCTATACTCTGGTATATTTATTCCATCATTTTACACTTGTATTCATGTGATATAATTTTATGTACTACCAAACTGAAATGGTAATAAATGTATTTTTTTGTTCCAAAATATTTCAAAGTGGATGTCACTTTTGAAGAGTACAATTAATCTGATTTCTTTTGTTCGAAAAATTAAATTACGATATAAATGAAAGAGAATTAGTCCTTTAAAATTAATTGAAGAAAAGTTAGAAACACTCCATAAATTTGAACGGTATGATTAGAGATCTTTAAGTAATCGATGCCCCCTGACGAGACTATCAAAAAATAATATAGAAGTATAGTTTTGTCAATGAACTAGTCTTGTTCATCTTAAAGAAAGAAATCACGTAAGTTCCGTCTTCATTTCGTACTAACTCTGTTTTTCGATTACTCCTTTTCTGCTAACAAATAAATCTCATGTTTAGGTAACTATCAATTTTCATCTCGCAGGTTAGAATTTACTTGAATGTAGAAGAGGAAGAGGGAGAAGGAAAACCCCCAGAACTTCCCTGCTTCATAAGGGAATGATCTACCGATAAACCTTTATTATTTCCAGCTTTATACACGAAATTATAGAGAGCAACCACTTAAGTTTGCTTGGAAGGGAATCGAAGATGATGAAGACAATACACAAAGGCCGAAGTGGGAGGAATCATATAGTATGGATTGGTGACCAAATCCCTTAACGCCTTCGTGGCAATGATCAGTTACCACGCGTTTTGTTTGCTCTGTTTTGAGGGACCTGTTGAGTTGAGTATGTATCTATGGAGTTATGTATAGTATAATACACATGCTGTAATGAAAATTGAGCATGAGAGCCCAAACTGGAGGAGACAGCACAGAACAGAGCAGCCCAACTAACTACCATTCATTCAATTCAGGGGTAATTGATTCTTCTCTTGCTTTCTTTTTTCCAGTCTCCATACCTTCGATTTTTGTATATTGATTCCTTGTTGCTGTTTTGGGTCGAGCCTTGTCAAAAGGAAGCACCATTCAGGCAGTTGAAAATGATGCACGACGGATGATAATTCCATTTTATGCAAAGGGCAACCCCGATTTGTTCCATTTGAATTTCGAGCCAATCGATTCCATCCAATTTCCATTCAGCCTACTTTAGTCTTTATATATATGTTTACCATTTTTAGAATTGATCAATTAAATCAAATCCAACTGTATCTTTATTCAATCTTATTTTATCTTCGTATTGTATCTTTATTCAAATAGAATTGTATCTTCTCATTACTATGGACATTGGACAGGATCATATCCCACCATACCAAATTGGACTTACCGAATCATAAATGATGAGTTGTCAAGAAGATACAATTGTAGAGGTTGAAGAAACAAACGGGGTCCAAGTCGGTACAAGGACAGCCCCACAGAGTGGAAAGAAAACAGGGCAATCTCACAAGATAGTCCAGTCAAAGATACCAACTTTGATATCAAGTTTTAGAGATCTCAATTTCGTATTGATGATTAAATTTGGACCATTTACAAAAAAAAAAAAAAAAACAAACAAACAAACAAAAAACAAATCACATCAAGTTGATCGCTCCCTTTGAAGTGCTCCCTCCATTTCAGATACTACTTTTTGAGGTAGATCATAGATGGGTTAGTGATGCTGCTGACTACAAAATTTGCTATTTTCTGTTAAGTGGTTTAATGCTGCTTACAAAATTTGCTGAATCAATAGCTTAGCGGGAATGTCTATTAGGTAACTGGCTATTGCAGTCTGCTTCTTTTGCAAGAGGGAGATGAACACAGAGATGATAATGATGATGTTGATGGAGAATGGGATGCGGAGGATGATTGATCCTCCTCTGAAGAAGAGGCAATTGTAGTATTAGTAGCAGTAGCCATTTTAGGCTCAACAAAGTCACCTTCCACCTTTCTCTTGATGCTCCTTCTCTTGCCTTTCTCGGCTTGATCACCTTTCACCATGAAGTCTTTAAGCTTCGTGACATCGGACTTTTTCACAGGCTTTACCAGGAAGTCCTCGGCACCTTCTTCCAGACAACTGAATCAATAAATAACAGAACCTCCCAATTAGGATTTGCTGCACTTTGAATCTAAGGACTCTAAGAACATTCATTCCATTATGTTAACACTAATGAAAGACTTCTAAGTTCCAACTCATTGAATCAAAATCCTGCCATGGTTAATAACCTTCCTAGGAAACAGACACGACTAAATGGTGAAACCATTCCTAATCACAGATATGCAATTCAACCCATTTTCCTTATCATCTATTAACCATTATGTGGTCCAGTTAAAGAGGCATAACATTAACCTGCCAATCTAACAGTGCTAGTCTTCCACCACAACCCACATCAAACAAATTCAATTGCCAAAAGTAAATTAATCTTGGACTAGTCTCTCAAAAAAAAAAAAAAAAAGATCTCGCAGTAGGTATGTAAGATTTAATCCGTCCTAACACCAATCAATAGCAGGAAGATACTTCCACATAGATAAGATCTTGTTCATAAGCCCAATCTCTATCCCGCTCTAAAAGTCAGCAAAGAGCACTCAACTTAAACATAAAAAACATAATTGGTCAAGTCTTAGAAATTCACCTATGGATCCGGGTCAAGACGTTCTCTGATGACATTATCACAACTGGGATCTCTTTAAACGCTTTAGATTCCTGCTCAAGAAAGAAAATATGGAAATGAACCAAATCAGTAACAGGAAAACTGAATCACAACTCCCATGCCATGATCACTTGCTGAAGCTTCTGATAAATGAAGGTGGAATTTCATACCTTGATCTTTTTAAGCAGCTCGTATCCAGTCATGCCTGGCATGGAGTAATCGGTCATTATGAGATTGACCTTCAAATCCTGTCAAATTTCATACAATACAGAACAATCAGCACCACGGAAACCTAAGCAACCAATCAGAGAGTATGTGTGAAAAAGGAAACCATCACATACATTGAAACCAACAGCGGAAGAACTCTTCTCTCCACCCAAACCAAGGTACTGCAGAGCTCTAGTACCACTGTCCACAGCCGTAACTGTATACCCAAAAATAGAAACAAATCCCATATGTCAGATCCTAAATCAAACCAAATGAGAAACAGAAAATCCGAGAAGAACCCCCACAATTGAGTAAAAGGTGGCACCTTTGAACGAAGAACTCTTCAGCAAGCGCTCGATAAGCTTCCTATCAACAATACTATCATCCACAGCTAGAACGTGAAACTCCTCGGAAACGGAACCCGACCCATTAACGATATTTCGGTTACAACCCGAAACTCCCACTTCCTCGGCCAAGTTCCACCGAAGAGACTCGGTACCGGCGGCAGCCATTTTCCAGATCAAAGATTATCAGAACCCTAATGAGAAAGCCCAAAAGCCAAAAGAAACCTCCTTGCTAGAAGAAATCGCTGGAACTGAGTGGGTTCGAAAAATCGCAGCCTGTAGATTTTGAAGGAGTAGAGGTAGGAATTAATAATCTTCGGGGTTGAGAAGGAAATCGAAATTGGGAAGCGTGGAGGGATTTTCTGGTTAAGGAGGGCGGGTTGGTGTTTAATAGGGGATGGCGGAGAAGGTAAGAAAGGAAAGAGGACAGGGCAATAAAGAAAAGCTGAAGAAGGGGATTCTGAGGATCCAATAACGTGAGATCTTAGCAAATCTTTGGTATGGAGCCCAGCTCTTGTCTGTTGTCGCCCCCTCATTAAATTAGAAAGAATGGGAAAGAGAGACCGATACAACAAATCTTTTCATTTTCCCGCTTTTGTATATATTAATTAATTAATTTATAATATAAAAGTTTGGTTATCTCATATCTGTAGGGATTTGACTTTCAGTTTCGCAGGTGCTTCCTACGTATATTGTTTCGATTTGATTTGATCTCAGAATACGAATGAAATGATTTCTTTCTTACTGAGTTAGTAAATAGTATTCAAAAAACCATCACAGAAAAGTTTGTATTAAATTTTAAACATATTTCAGTTACAAAATAACATTGACTATAAACTGAAATTGAATAGAACACTTGCGTTGAGATAACAAATTTAAAGAAGATACAGTCAAAATATTCATTTATTGTCTAATCAATATATTCATCTATTTCAAAAAAAGGTATAATCCAAATGGTTAATGCAATTTGTGTGTTGCAAATATTAACAGAAAAATGCTCTCGACTTTGGCTCTCGTGAATCCTTTTCAGGCGACGACCCCGTTCTATTAGGACGGTCGTCGGACTCACCCATCTAAGATCCCCCAATCGTCAGTCGTGGCAGGGAGCCAGGGACGGACAATCCTCTTAGACAATTGCTTTCTAGAGCCACTTAGATTAGACACCATGGCCGGGTACTCTAAACCTCGATATTTTTGTTAACATCTAAGCCAAATGGTAGAATCTGAGTTTTTAAGATCGCAACACCTCACGGAAAAGTTCGCGGCCGTGATCTAGCGGTACTAGCCCGCGATCTTGCCAGTGCTTAGGTTGAAAACCCTCATCTGGTGGGTTGTGCAATTTTTATTCTCAATCTCCTAACTCTTCATCTCTTATGGTATGCTCCCCTCTAGCATGGCTCTTCAACACTCACATTAGCCGACCACGGGAGTGAGTAATTGTCGATTAGAGTAGAACTAATTCAAGGTGGCACTTTTGCTCTTATTTACATATCCAAGTTTTTGTTTCAGGATGGGTAAGTCAAAGAAGATTCCCGAGTCATCAACTTCAATCAAAGGAGGAAAGAGAGCACCCCATCCATACATCGAATCGGAGACAAGGACAAGGCTGAATATGCACACTTTGCTCCACGTACTTATGGGGAGCATCATTTTATCTCTTGGGAACTTTTTGGAGGAATTTGGAGCTACCGCACCCATTAAAGCTCTTATTCAAGACCCGGCGTGGCTGAATCTTTTGACAATCAACGAGAAGATTTATGACGAGCCAACTCTTGAGTTCTTGACCACCTTGAATTGCTCGATTCTTACCATCAATCGAGACTTTCCAAGAACACTGTCCTTTTCACTAGGAGGCTAACCAAGAGAAATGAGCTTCAATGAGTTCACCGAAGCCATGTGTATCTATCCTCCAGGATTCATCTTTTCTCAAGAAGGTCGCGCCCTTCAAGGGGAGGAGTTAGCTACTTGCAATCATCCAGAAAGCCCAGATCATCAAGCACTATTTTACCCAAAATCTACCAAAAGCCCCTCTTTGAAACCAGAATGGCGCATTCTTCATAACATCATCTCTTACAATGTTGTTCCCAAAGAGAAGAGTGTTAGTAATCTGACAAAGAGGGATCTCAATCTTTTGAGATCCATGATTATGGAGCCTCATCTAAATCTTGGATGAGTTATATTCAGGACTCTTTACAATACCATAACAAACTTGAAGGTTAAGACCATCCATGGGTGAGTTTTTGTCACTCGTCTTGCACGGTATTTCGAGATAAACTTGGAGGAATGCAACTGTACGGTTATTCGCTCCACTCAAACATTCATCGAGGATCACTTGTCCAAGATGAAACTTCTAGAGGTGCATAATGGAAGGAAGACTGTCAAGGGAATAGCTCGCCAACCACTTATACTTCAGTTTGAAACGCCATAACCAACCTCCTTCTCAAGAATATGGGCGTCATCATCTGGCGCCCATGCATCTCAGATAGCCAGTCTTATTGAGCAGAATGCCAAGCTAATCGAGCAGAATTCTAGGCTTATCGAGGATCAAAGAGAAGTTCGCTTCCTTCTAAGGCGTGAGAGGAAGTCTAGACGACATCTCTTAGGAGAAGTTCACCTGATAATGAGAAAAATGCAGATGGATTCCGGCGAGATAGAGCAAGAGTTCCCGTTATCACACCATTCTGATGGTGACAATCTTGTATGGGAGGATGAAGGCCACCTTGATGACAACTCCAAGGAGGATTAAATACTAGGCATCCAGGGCCTAAGTTCTATATTTTCTTTTTCTTCACTATTCTTTTCTTTTTCTTTAAACAATGTTTAATATTTGATTTTTTTTGTTTTAATTTTCATACTTTAAATATTATCGTACTAGCAGTAACCATACTTATATTATCTACTTATTGTAACTATGTCTTACAATCGTCTTCCTCTCTTTCTTATGCACTTTATCATTGTGAAAACCACCAGGAAGACAAAGACCTACACTTGTATATATTCACCAACCCACAACCCGACCTATGGTAACCTTCATGATCTTCTCTTTTGAATCTCCCCCATTGAGGGCAATATGTCGCTCAAGTGTGTGTGTGTGGGGGGGGGGGGGGGGATGTGTGTGAATGTTTGAATGATTATCATGATTGATTGAGCCATGTATCACTAATATCCTACCTTGATTATGAATGTAAGACGTTGATGATTTCTTAGGGAAGTGTATGCTAGCGATTATGCGTGTTGTGGTGTTGAATGGCTTATTCATTGTGTTGTTTCAAATTTGATGGTTCCAACACACCTTGTTCCTTGCAACTTCCTACTCAATATGCTTTGAATTGATAGATGATTGATATGTTGTGCTCGCTAGGGAGTAGTTGCATGACTAGAGTACTGGCATATGAGAGGTTTACTCTCTTCTTCCTCTTTGGTGAGTTGATAATGTTTGCTATTTTAGGAAGAACATGTGTGTGGGATTCTCCATCATTTTTTAACTCAAAACTTTTACAAATTCGTGCTCAATTCAGAAAAGAATCTTTGGAAAAAGAGGTTCTCACGTGAGAGGCATTTGAGGATATGTTTGAGGACCAGATAGCTTTACCGCATCCTGATCACCTTTCACTACTTACCATCCCCCAAACATCTTTCCTCCTCACATAATCATATGGCAAGGTACAAAGTACCTTTTAGCGATTCAAGAGACCTCAAGCTCTCGTTTGTACCTAACATGTGTGGCAACCCAATATGGAGTGCAGGGTGGGAAGTGGAGCACAGGCTAAGACGAATCCTCCCATCAACTTCCCCACATGTGAACTTGATAGGGAAGGCAATGATCCATCCGCTCTTGGTTATGAGGGAGAGATGCTTGCTTGCAAAAGAGTTTGCAAAAGTTTGGTGAAATGCGCATCAACATTGGAAAAGGAGACAATAAAAGACAACTTTTAAATTAAAAGAAAGAATAAAGAGCACCCTCAAGAGTTCTTGTGCTTAATTGTTGTTGTGAATTCCCCTCGTGCACACCTTGAATGTCCGTCCTAAGTTAGTAAGTATGGTCCTCACCAGGGAGTTTGTGCTTGCACAGTAAGTTGATAGTAATGTTTACTCATCTCTGTTTACTCTTCTTTATGCAATGAGAACTAGAGTGCACCCCCCGTTGATTTTTCTATCAAGTTGGATTGGTTTTAGTAGGTTTGCTTGGGGACAAGCAAATACCTAAGTGTGGGGGAGTTTGATAACACCCAAATTGGTGTTATTTAACCTTCATATCTAGGTTTGTTTCGTGCTAATTCATGTGCATAATCAGAAGAATATCATCGATTGCATCCTTATTTTGTTTTAATTTGCTTATGATGTGATTTTAGGGTGCTTTAAATGACATATGCGAATTAGCTACGAAAAAGGGCACAAGTGTAGACAAATGGGCAAGAAGCTAATGATCACGACCTTAAGGGAAAGATCTCGCCTGAGACAACCAGCCACGAAACTGGAGTGAAGATCGAGGCCTGAGGACCCAAGATCGCGGCCGCGGACATGGACATGGAGTCTTCGGGCACGAACTTCGTGAAGAAGCCAATAGAGAAGAAAAAGAGAGTTTTCCCAGCCTGATCACTGTTACCATCTTCCCTGACCTTGAGGAAGTTTGCGGCCGCGACTCATGGATCACGACCGTGAAGTCAGCCCGCGAATTCCCAGCAAAAGAAGACCAAAACGGCGATGCCTGAAGACCACCACTGTGATCTCCCCCTGCTCAGCCGTGAACGTGTTCGCCTCCCTGAAGTCTATAAATAGAGGACCTCTTCCCCCATTTTAAGGGAGCTGATTTTGAGATAGAAATTTTTGGTTTAGAGATATAAGAAAGAAAAGCTGAAGGAAGGAGAAAGAGGAGAAGCTAGAAGAGATGATCCATCTTCCTCAACATCAAGCCTTCCCCAATTTCTGCTATGTATCTTCTTCCCTCCATTTGGGAGTAGTCCTCTACGGTTCTATGGGTTCGAAACCCCAAACCCTAGTTTTAGGGCTATTATGTAATGGATGAATATGTTAGGGTTTTGTATGAATGTGTTTATCTAGTTGATTTTAATGCTACTCTAGATTTAATTGTGCTTGGGTAATTCGCCCTAATATTCTCTACTAGTCTAGTTGAGCTTCTACGTTGGGTATGGAGTTTTAGGATTAGAAGGGTATGCGCCATCTGGCAAATTAGGGTTAGATGAATGAATAGGGTCTTGTGATGGATGAGGTAACTAAAACCCTGCCACAAGAATGCCTTCCTAGATGGAACCCAGGATGAAACCTCGGTGTGGACGATGGGTAGTACCCATGGATCTATGTTCTTAAATCCCCAGATCTGATAGCCTATATCGAGGTGACTGACATGGATTCAGGGGAGGCATACTCGGAGGTGTGTGGATAATCAAGAATACATATTGGAAATCCAAAAATGATTGATGATACTTCTCAAAAGATGTTGGAAAGTGAAGTAGAGAAAGTATGCTCAACAGGCTAAGAAAGGG